ACCCATTCGCCTGTGCTCATCGTTGTCGCGCCCGCGGTGGCCCCCGTATCGTTGGTCGTGCCCGCCCCCGGCGCGTCATCTCATCGTTCGTTGTGTTCACGTAGTGCATCTCCTTTACGTCTGTTTGACTTCAGATGTGCTGAGACTTAACGACGATGATAGAACGACGATTTGCATTGGAGAAGAACATCCGTCAGCGACCTGCTGCTTTTGCCTCAGCACATCCACCTATTCTGCTGCTTTTATTGCTACGAGTACTATTGCTCACCTACCGTACTGTCGAATGTGGTCCTACCGATAGGGTCGTGCTCGGGGAGAGTGTGGATTTGATAGTTTCACATGGACGACAGACGGAACAACGATTGTTTGGCTCATTTTCACCTGCAGGACTTAATTATGAGGTACAAGGAGATGTTGTTCAGGTAAGGGAAATCATTTTCAGCAATTACCCAAATCCTCCCACATTGTTTCAACTGTTTCAGAAATGGAAAATCTAAAATTGTCTTGTTTATCTCATAGTCCTCCTATTGCTGCGCTGTTTCATAGTCCTCATAACTCACACTCCCGGAAAAAAAAGAACCTCGTGAGGTTTTTTTTCTGGAAAAAACTAGGACTGATACTTTGTAACTACATTTACTTAAACATAATCAATTAGTCGACCTTTTTTGCAAGAATGCAAACGATAATGCCTTCACTTTTTTGGAACATTTGAAATTTTAATAATTGCGAGCTTTCCAGCAAGAGAACTTCAACCTTCAGCTTAATTATTCCAAATTTAGAAATATTCCAGCATAGTTTTTCTCATAAGAGCCAACAACTCTAGCCTTCTATTTTCACTTTTTTGAAAACATTTTGAGAAATTTCTTAAGGGAATTAACCTTTTTAACATCTTTCTATGTTTAAAATAGAGATTACTTTTTTTTACTTCATAATAAATAATTCCCTGTGTCCTTTCTCGGGAAAAAAGGCACAAGGATTAGATACTAGTAGCGGTAATAACACCTTTAAACATTATAATCACCGAAAATTATACTTCAAAGGACCTTCTAAGCAAGTGTTAAAATAAACAGCTGGAATTATTTCATCAATAGCTTTCATTACGAATTATCTGAGCTGGACTAGTAGAAGATACTTGGGGCGTCAAACAGAAATTCGTTGATAGTAGGATGGCAAGGTTTTCAGTTATTTAATATTTTGCTCATTATTGCAGGAAATGTCTAAAGTTTTTTATTTAATATTCTAGAAAATAACTATAGTTTTTTCTCTACAAGCTTTATAATTTATTGGCAATAGAAGAATAAATCTAAAATCAGTTACATTTCTGTTCATTCATTTATCTTCTGAAGCATCTTTTTCTCCG